TTCTAGGGAGTAAGATTTGGGTGGGCAAGAGAGAAACTTCACTTATACTTTAGATACCATACATATAATATATACATTATAAATGAATTTTTTATAAGCAACTTTCATAATAAAGATTAACAATACAAATTGCATCATGATCATTTTGCAGTGTCATTAATCTTCTTTAAAAAGATCTTAAAGTCGAATAATATTCTGTTCTACTCACGGTGTAAAATCAGCCATCTCCTGCTCTTGGGCATCGCCACAAATGGCATCACAGTAACCACGGTGACAGCAGGGTGCAATTCATGACGGTCTAGTCAACATCGAGTGCTCACTGTTTTTTTCTATTGCTACCTATTAAGTCCTTTACAATTCTCTGACGTTGAAAACTATATATTCCTTGGCCATTTGCATTCATTAATATAAAAGGTATTCAGGTTATAATGAATTTAAAAAAGGGGGAGACAATTAATCAACAGGGTTCCCAACAAATGGCTGCCAGCCAATCGATACCTGTAAGTCAAGTGTATCTCACAAAGCCCCATTTTCCTAACAATTTGTTAACACTCTTATATACATTTACATGAAATTCAAGAACGTTCTATATAAGAATGTTAAACTGTTTCTTTTTTATCTGTAGTTTTCAGTTTTCAAGATCACATCCTCCCCACAGGTTTGCAGGTGGAAGGAAGTCTGGCGCGATGGTCACATTACCGTTTCTAGCCGGCGCGTCCTCGTAGGCGGGGCACACCCCGTAGTACAAAGGCGGCTCCTTAGAGGCCGTCCCTCCGGCTCCCTGGGCGTCGGGGGCCACAGCACGCAGGGGCGCCAGGCAGGCCTGTAGCGTGACAGCGTCTTCCTCTGGAGGATTCAGGCCCACGCTGTAACCGAAGTCTCTGTCTTCAGAAAAACCAGGCTGCTCGGTGGGATTCCCTACAGCAGACTTCAGAATCCTTTGTGTGTCTTGGCTTAGAGCTCCAACGCCTGCCTCCTCGTGGCCAGGAGGAGAGGAAGGCAGCCTTCCTCCTTGCTCTAGTAAAGCCTGAGCCAATTTTTTCTCAAAAATGAACCGTGTGGTGGATGTAATGGGTCCACATTTCAATCCGGCTTTGACAACTTCTTCTCGGAGGTCATCTGGATTGAGAAGTTTCAACCGAGCCAAGACGGCATCCATTGTCATTTCGCCTAGAACCAAGACAAAAAAACCTAATTTGCTGGCTATAAAAGCACCTGTTTTTGTATTCAAAAAAGGTTTCAAAAAACCTGGTTTCCAAGTTTCATTTCAACACAGTGTTTCTCCATATCCTTTGGACTCTATAAATTATCTATGGTAATTTTCATAAACTGTATACTTCCACATCTATAATAATGTAAACAAAATTAGAATAAGCAGTTTCTGGTTGATTTGGGTAAGAATCTCATAACCTAGTTTCATCACATGTTACCATCGGGTTCACGTTCTCTGCAGGCCAGTGCACTGAGGGGACAGGCACACTCGCCTGTCACTGGTTGGAAGTACAATTTGGAACGAATCCCATGGAAGGCAAGTTGACACTATCCACCAGAATTCCAAGTCCAGGCGAGGCACAGTGGCTCATGCCTGTAATGCTAGAACTTTGGGAGGCCTAGGCAGGAGGATCCCTTGAGCCCAGGAGTTTGAGACCATCCTGGGCAACATAACAAAGCAAGACCCCAACTCCAAAAAAAATTTTTTTTTTTTTCAAAATTAGCAGGGCATGGTGGTGCACACCTGTAGTCCCAGCTACTCAGGAGGCTGAGGCAGAAGGATCACTTGAGCCCAGGAGTTGAAGAGTGCAGTGAGCTACGTATAATACACCACTGCACTCCAGCCTCGGTGACAGAGACCCTGTCTCTTAAAAAAAAAAAAAAAAAAAAGAAAGAAAAAGAAACAAAAGAAAATTATCCTACAGATATATTTGTACTTTATTCCATAAGTGATGGGAAAGTATGCAAAGATTTAAACAGAAGAGCTCTGGCAGTCATTTTGCTAATACTAACAACAAATAACTAGCGTTTTACGTTTTGGAGGATTTCCGTGTGCCTAGTACCTGGTGATGTTCTAAGCATTTAGCATACATTATGTCACTGAATAGTCACAATAACCCCATGTGGCAACTATGGCCGCCCGCTGCTCACCTCCACTTTACAGATGGAGAGAGGCTAAGGGACTTGCCCAAGTTACACGACTATCACACAGTGGATCTGCACCAGCACTGGAGCTCAGATCGGGTACTTGGAGAACAGTGGTTAAATTTATAGATTAAACGTGGCCAGCTGCACTCTGAGCAGAAGGTAAGAAATGATGGCGCACAGACCACTGCTGTAGTAACGGGGACTTGAGAAACAGGCTGTCTCAGCCACAGCCGACGAGATGCCCCAGGGCAAGACACCTACATTTCCAGTCCAGATGCCTGGGAAGAGACTCTACTGAGGCAGAGGATGTTAGAGATGGAACAAGTAGAGGGAAATTCTTTCTTTCCAAATGTAGGCATCAAGCCTTGCTATTTGATACGCAGAGGGCATCTCGATTTTCAAGTCTGAGGTTTAGAAGACAGGAGGTTCAGCGTGGGGAAATCAGGTTTGGGAATCCAGCATGTGGACGGTGGTTGTAAAACCAAAAGACTAAACCAGGGATAACAGGAACACACACAAAGACAGTGAGCCTTAAAAGGAATCTGAGTAATACTAAGGATTAAAAGATATGAGGAGGAAAAAAACAAAGGAAAAAATAAAAAAAGTCACGAGGAGGAAGAAAAACTCAAAATTTGGACACATCATTACATCACTGAAACCAAGCAGCAGAGGGTTCAGGAAGTGTTTACAGGTGACAAGATGAGCCGTCTGGGACTGGCTTTAATTACTTCAGCGGAGAGCAAGCACAGGGAGCCGCGGCAGGCAGAGCAAGGTTCACAAAATACGAACACCTGTTGAAGCTAGGCAGTGAGTATCAGCATTCATTAAATCATTGTATCTATTTCAAAGAAGATTTCGAAAATAACAGTTACTTATTTGCAAAGGGGATATCAGTCTTTTAAACAATGAATGTATTACTCAGCCCCCTCTACAGCGGCCAGAGAACCTGACGGTGGGGCCTACTGACCCCGAGATTCTGCCCAGCCATAAACACCTAATCAGAGTCTCTGTACACAGACACAGCTGGGTGACCACACACTGACGTGAAGGGCTGTCCCGAATCTGCAGCGAAGGAGGCACACAGGTGCTCAAAGCCACGGTGCAGGGCAGACTTTGAGGGGTGGGAGCAAGCGGTGAAGACGCTATGAATAAACAGGGAGGAACCCTCTCAGTCCCCGGCAGTATTCTGTTTTCATACAATCTCTGCAACCTTTCTCTACAGCCACCTCTTTAACTTGGGCTAGCTGGAAGGAGGTTTTGACCTTGTAACCAAGCAAGCCCTCAACAGAACAATTAATTACATTAAGTTACTAACTGTGGCCTTGGGCAAATTAGCTAAACTCTAATCTTCAGTTTCGTTATCTATAAAATGGACACACTAAGAGCTCTCTTTCTTAGGGTATAATGAAAATTAGATAAAACAATGCATGTAAAGACTGTACACTGTATCTGACACTAAAAAATTATCCATAATGTCACATATAGCTATTAAACTATTAAGGAATATAGGCTTATTAATCTTTCAGAGTAAGTACATTAACACGCTAGAAAGTCAGTTTGAATAAAAATAAAAATGGACACTCTTACTAATATTCTCAACACAAGATACAAGTGTCTACTCAAGCGTACAAAGAAACAAAGGATAGAGTAGAAACTAGTAAGACTGGTTATCTACGGGGTGGGTGGGACCAGACAGAAAGATGGGAGAACACGGGAGGGACAGAGGGACGGGGAGCCAATAACTTCCGAATTTAAGTTTTTATATGGTTCTGACTTTTAAAACATGTCTGTGATTCACATACTCAAGAAATAAGTAAATAAACAATTAAAAAGATGGGGAGACCCCCAAACGCAATACAAACCAAAACATGATCCCAACTGTATTACAAAGTACTAACATAAAGGTGGGGGAACTACAGTAACTCTGGAAAATGTCAAGTGGCCACACACTGGAAGGACAAAGACAAAACCAACTGCGGCAGGCCGGGCGCGGTGGCTCACACCTGTAATCCTAGCACTCTGGGAGGCCGAGGCGGGTGGATTGTTTGAGCTCAGGAGTTCAAGACCAGCCTGGGCAAGAGCGAGACCCCGTCTCTACCAAAAACAGAACGAAATTAATTGGACAGCTAAAAATATATATATAGAAAAATTAGCCGGGCATGGTGGCGCATGCCTGTAGTCCCAGCTACTTGGGAGGCTGAGGCAGTAGGATCGCTTGAGCCCAGGAGTTTGAGGTTGCTGTGAGCTAGGCTAAACGCCACGGCACTCACTCTAGCCAGGGCAACAAAGTGAGACTCTGTCTCAAAAAAAAAACAAACAAAAAAAAAACCAACTGCGGCAGTCACCACACTCTGGGCAGCAGGTGTTTCCCACCATGGTGCAGGTCACCAAGTCCGAAGCTATTCCAGTGTGCTGCAGGAGTAAGCGAGTAACTGAAGCATACCAGGGCTGCCGAGGGCAGGATTCTCACTGACGGAAAGGGAGGTGGGGACGAGAACGGGACAGCAAACTTCACCTGTAAAGCGCCACAGTGAGCAGCTGAGGCCCTGGGGGCCACAAGGTCTCTCCGATGCTCAGAACAGCCACAGACAACACATGAACAGGAGGCACGGCTGCGCTCCAGCAAAACTTTAAGTACAAAAATAGGTGGGGCCAGACTGGACCCTTGGGCTGGAATAAAACCAGTGACGTTTGCACTGGAACTTGGAGTATTGGTATGACCTTGCGGTCTCTGATAGGTAAAGATACGAGAAATGGAGTTAGGTCTGTAGATTGGATAATAGTGTTCCATCAGTGTTGATTTCCTGGTTTTCATTTTGTAGTGTGATTATGTAAGATACTAACATTTGGGGAATCCAGGAGATGGTAAACATGATTTAACTCTTTATTTTGAAATCTATGGACTTAGAAGTTCTTGCAAAAACCATACAAAGAGCTCCTGCGGACCCACCATCACCCAGCTTCCCCCAAAGCTTGACATCTTACATATCTAGAGCACACGATCAAAACCAAGAAACTGACACAAGACGACAAACTAGACCTCGGGCCTCACCAGCCTCTGCGGGCTGTGTCTTTGCCGGGTCTCACGGTTCTGTGACAGTTTATCACGTGAGCAGACTCCTGTAACCACGACTACCTACCATCACATGCAGACCTGTCCCACTCCACAAAGACCTCCCTCCTGCTGCACTCGAGTCACCTCCCGTCTTGCCCACTGTCCTCGACCCCTGGCAACCACTCACTCGTTCTCTATCCCTGTAAGTCTCTCATTTCGAGAATGTTATAGAAGCGGGGTGGCAAGTACAGAACTTTTGAAACTGGCTTCTCTCCCTCAGCACAATGCCCTGGAGATCCACCCCAGCCGCTGAAGGGATCACTACTGAGAAGCACCCCGTGGCATGGACGTGTCAGTTTGTTAAACCACTCACCCCTCACGGGATATTTGGGTTGTTTCAGTTTGGGGCAATTATAGATAAGGCTGCTGTGAACATCCATACATGGGCTCGTGTGTGAAAGTAAGTTTTCATTTGTCTAGGGTAAAAATCTCAGGAGTGCAGGGCAGCTTTAACTTTCTGAGAAATTGCCAGACTGATTTCCAGAGTGGCTGTGCCACTTAACATTTCCACCAGCAATGCATGAGAGACCCAGTTTCTCCACATCCCTGCCAATTTGGGGTAAAATCAGCATTTTTTTCATTTCAGCCATTGTAATAGGTGTGTAGAAATATCTCACTTTAGGTTTGATCTGTATTTCCCACCAAGCGTGGTGACTCAGGAGGCTGAAGCAGGTGGATTACTGGAGCCCAGGAGTTCAAGACAAGCCTGGGCAACACAGCAAACCCCCCTCTCTTAAACATTAAAAAAAAATTTGTGTTTCCTTACTGGCTGATGATGTTGAACATCTTTTCACGTATGTTTATTTGCTTTGTACTATTTTTGTAATCTTTTATAAGTCTAAAATTATTTCAAAATGAAAAGCTAAAAATTAAAGAGAAATTCTTAATGAAAAAACACTCCAAACTCCAATGTCTT